TTTGAAAAAAATCCATTTCAATATACTAAGGAATAAAAAAATAATAGGTTATGCCAATAAGTTTTGCACCATATTGAGCGAAAAGTAACTCCATTTAATTTATAGGACTATCTTTTTTTTTTAAATAACAGAGGAATTTATAAAACCATCTAAGAGTCCATTTAGTGGCACCTATTCTCGGCTTATTGACCATAGCAGTCATTTTTTGTCACACACATAACTTTTGATTTTGCTAACTAAATTGTGTAATAATCAAAATAGGTAAGGTTGTAGTTACTTTTCTAATTGAATTGACTGAAATTACTTTAAAAACTATTCTAGCTATATTTTCATATAACTTTGTCATTATTTAATTAATGACATATATTTTAAATATAATTTTACTAATTGAGTGAATTCATTCACTTCAACCAGAATTTCATCAATTTTAGTAGAATCAACTGATTCGGCCAAATTCGATATTACCATACAGGCTCTAAATAGGAACAATATTTCACCATTTTATGCTATTAAAAATAGGACACATATTTAGCTTTGATTGCTTAGAGAATTCAAATTGTATAATTTTCAATATTTCCTCCCGATAACCATTATTTTTATAATTCGATGAAGTGCATATTCAAAAATTCTGGAACACTATTATGGCATCAGGGATACGGGATACCGAACCAGAAATTTGTAATATAGATCGAGGTTCTTATTATGCTAATGGAAACGGTGATAAATATTCTAATTTATGTTTTGGAGACGAAGGTTATATTAGGCAATAATATTGACTAAAAGGTTTTAATTCCAAGGTTATCATTCATCTCATTGGATATCGTAATTTCTTTTAAACTTCAATGCAATCAATTTTCAATCATCATTTCATTTGCCATGACCATATAGATAAGCCAATTACAATCTCTTCATGAAGTAGCATACATCTACCAAAAATTATTTTTGCGCATAGTAAATTGTACATTATCATGTCAAACGTCACCTCAAGTGGTATGTTGAATATTTTTTATTAAGGACATGCTATATATAAACAATATTTCCAAAAAAACCTCAAGTAGTATGTTGAATATTTTTTTTATTAAGAACATGATATATATAAACCATATTTCCAAAAACTATGATCCTTTTTGTATAGTGTCAACACACATGACTTTTCATTTTTGTAATGCTACATTAGGGCGTCAAAGTAGAATCATAAAATTGTGATATTTCATTGTCTAAGTAGTATATATTTTTACGCCTTACCTTTTAATTTAAATTTACTTGCAATTTTTCATACCATCCGTATGCATTTTCTTTTTTCTTAGAAACCACAATTATATGTTTTTCATTTTAAATAATTTCATGCTATGTATCATCACAATAAAAATTACTTTTAAACAAATTACGGAGTATTATTTTTCTCTAGATGTACCCGTGCATCGCACGGGTATTACGTCTAGTTATGATTTAGTTTGACTTGTTCTAATCAGGTTTATATGTATTTGATCTAATATGATATTGAAATAAGTAGTGAAGATATTCTGTCTTTACAGGTTTATGTGTAAAGGTTTAAGATTTAATAACCCATATTAAAAAAATGCTACTGTGAATATATAATATCCCGCATATGACTGATTATTTATTACGTAGTACGTATAATCTATTTACTCTAAACATTGCGTGTTTTGTGTTTTCATCTTTGTTTCTACCACACAAGTCTTTAAAAGTCACAATTTCTTAGTAAGGTTATTTTTGTTACTCCACACTATTAATGATATTTTCACTTAATATGAACTTATTTTAAATCCAAGTCAACCAGATCAAAGCATATCAAAGCTGATCAAACCAGACTTAAACAGATCAGATCATACTTTGATAATTGTAAAATACACATAAACCAGACAACTATTAGACCAAATTAATCCAGACTAGACCAAACTTAAACATATCAAATTAGATCAGATCAAATCAGACTCGAAAATTTCAGTCCAATTAAAAACATAAATGTTTCAAATACTTGGTATAACTTATATACGCAGTATGGTAGTGGTACTACTTCAAAACGTAGTAGTACTACTTCAAAGTGTTTTATGTGACATTGGTATTTTTTTGGAATTGAAGTAGTATTCAATTAAGCTACTTCTCTTTAAGTAACCGATGGACATTGTTTTATGATGTACGCTGTAAACAACCAATATATATATTATAATTATAAAAAGTAAGTATAAATAGAAATTCAGAATCGATTATTTTATGTAATAAAAAAGAGTTATTTAATGCCAATGTTTCATATTTTTATTCTCTAAGCTAAGAAAAGTTTCATTGATTATCATTTGTATTACACTTTTTCTCCAAGCAACGATATTAAACTATGACACTTTTATCTTACAAGCCTTCATCGTGTTCGAGCCCAACAAAACACTTCTGATCTACTACTCTTTTCCTCCGAAAAAATCATAATTATAATTTAACAAACAACAATAAATATAATACTCCGTAGTGTTTTTTTTTTTTGAAAGAAATACTCCGTAGTGTTAATCCTAAATACTCAAGTATATATAATACACTTACATTTAAGTGTGTAGTATAAAAGTACATTGGCTATCATACTTAAATATGTAAAATGATGATGGAAATACTTTTAGATGATATTCGATAACATTATAATGTGCTAATAAGTTAACTAAAAGGAACATTTAATGTCAAACACAAATACTAGTAATACTACCTAAGAAAATACAAAATTAAAATCAATATAACAACTACTATTAACTGGTTTCGATTGTACGTAATTAGTATTTGATTGAAGCAAAGGTAAGCACGAAAAAAATTAATTAGTATGACTACATCTAAAAATTAATTATGAAATAAAAATAGAGAAAATATTATTAATAAGAGTAAAACATAGCATAATTTCTCAATTAAGAGTGACATTGTTCTCTTCATATATGAAGATATTTTTAGATGTGCTTCCATGGAAAAGAGTGTCACATGGATTATGTTATACTCCGTATATAATTAATTTCAAATATAGCTAGCTATTACTCATTTGATTATATACGGAGTATATTTTTTACTCATTTGATTATACTCCGTATATAGTTATTATAAAAATGAAAACGAGTTATACCAACCAGGTAATTAGACAACAAGTTCCTCACTCACTCTTTTTGAATATCACAACAAAATCTCTTAAATATATCCGGCCTGATGAAATTTCCGAAAGTCGTGATATTATTGCTACAATGCTACTCAATACATAAATTTTTCTTTCTCTCATATTCTTTTAGTTTCACACACACTATATATATACAAATACTCACGATAAAGATACTACGACTTAAAAAGCTAGCTAGTTATTATATAGTTTCATCATAGAGTAATTAATTAGGGCTTTTTCTTAAATGTTCCAAAAAAGTCATGAACAAAAATATTAGTGAGTAATTATTAGTGATTATAACTGTGTTCAAATATGCATCGTAGTAATTATATATATGTTGTCCATCATATTTTAAAAAATAATATTAATGGAATATATTTTTATAATAATAATAATATTACTATTAAGGCTAAAGGGTCAAATAAGCCCTCCAACTAACTTAAAAAGTGCAATTCACCCCTTAGCTTATATAGGAGGCTCTGTCCGGCCGTCGCCAATTGGGGTGGTTGCCGGTGGAATTTTTTGATGAAAATTTTTGAACATCTTCTTCATTATATCTAGTTTACTCATACCAAATTTCAACTAAAAATTCAATCGGGAAGGCGGTCAAATGAATTTTGAAGATAACTGCGCAGTTAAACAGCGCAGCACATTTTAGAAAATCATTTGACTGTCTTCCCGGTTAAATATTTATTTGAAATTTGGTATGAATAGACTAGACTTAATGAAGAAGATGTTAAAAAAATTCATCAAAAAATGCCACCGGAAACCGCCCCAATTGGCGATAGCCAGACAGAGCCTCTTATATAAGAAGTGAATTGCACTTTTTAAGTTAGTTCGAGGGCCTATTTGACCCTTTAGCCTTAATAGTAATATTATTGAGGCTAATATCACCTTCTCTTGTCTCAAACTTAGGGGGACGGAGGTTGTGACACCGCTCCCGAACGTCCTTGAAAATTCGATTTAAAATTCAAAGTTTATGTATTGAATTTCTGATTCCCAAACAATTGTGAAACGATTGTTGTTTTACGTAATTAATGATTGATTATTATACTGTTCGAACTCGTATATTAGTATCGGGCCTTATTAATAAATAAAAGATCCTAACATTATCTAAATAGTTATACATAACGTTTCAAGACAAGTTGAGGAAGGGCGGGAAGCCCATATATTATTTGGGCCCAACCTGCTAAAGTAGCAAATATTTGAGGACGGCGTCGTAGGCCCACTCGGGGGCGACCCACACGGCTTGTAGCCCAATAATATGAATGACAAATGTCAAGATAAGTGATAGGATGATTAAAGAAGAGTACAAATGCCTATAACCCCATCTTTGGCATTATTGAGCCAAATAATGGGAGTAGGATTTTCCTTCTATATTATCCATCAAGTAAATTATTGAGATGAGCCTACACATATTGGGGATCAATAATGTTATGTAGGAAGTTGACTTGTTCTAAATAAATTAGGATGAGTACAAAAAGACATCTTTGACAAAAGATAAAACAATAGGACCCATTCTTCCATTTTTCGGTGTATTGATAGATATTTTGGATCCCAAATTAATTGGGATCAATGGGGAACCACTCCACATGATATTAGTACCTGCAAGACAAGGAAAATATGTGAGAAGACTCACCTTGGCCGCACCACATGGAGAAGCACTGCCCATGACACAATTGGAATCAAATTTTGGGGCCACCACCACTGTTTTCGCACAAACAGGTGTGCTGTTTTGTCTCCCTTCATTTTGAGAGTTGTACTCGTCCAAATGAGGTGTATAAGGTGTCCTTGGATAGCCTTTGAAGTCTATTTTCATAATTGAGTGGTCTCTGTTCGAGAGGAGAGAGTAGTCATCCAAAAATCGATCTGAAGCGAGCAGTGGTCTGTGAACTCGAGCTGTGAGAGTGCTGAGACTGTTTGGTTGATATCTCGAGTTTTACCAATCCAATTAAGGCGTGTGAGATACCAAAAGAAAGCTCTCAAGACGAGGAATCCGTGAAGGTCTGGTTTGCATCAATCGGAGTAGAGGAAGGCTTCCAAATCGTCCGAGCAGAACGCGACCTCGCAGGGACGGATTTACTCTTCTAAGTGAGTTTTTAATCCCAAAACCTTTCCATTCATTTTCCAAATGATATGAACGATTGGTGGGACTATTATACACTACTCCAAGTGTATAAAACATCCCTATTAAGTTATTTTATTGATGTAAAGGTTAGATACTAACCTAGATGCAAATATTGGAAAACTAGGAATCGAGTTAGCCGGAAAACACCCGTTCTAGGGGCTGTTTTCGTATCAACGATTAGGAGTTGAAATAGCAACTTGAGGAAGCTGTTTAACACCCATTTTCAAGCAAGGAACCAGCTCTCAATATTCCTTGGCCGAGGCTTTGGTCATTGGATCGAGAAGGAAGGTTTTAAAGCTCATTTGAGGTGAGGACCGACATCTAGTTGCTTACAACTTGTAGGTTATGCATGAGATTACCTAAATGCTTAAATCATGTTTTTGTGAATAAATATGCTTGAACATGATATGAATGATAAGTAATGGACTTGATCATAAATTGAAACCATATTGATGAATATGGAGTCATGTGAGATAAAAGTATGCTAAAATGGTAAATTGACCTTCCAACTCATGTATGAATGTTATGTGTATGTAAATGTATGATTGCATGATGATGCTTAGCACATGGGAGGCTGCCACATATCTATTGATATGGAGGGGCTACCATTAATGATAAATGAGTTGTAGGAATAATCTTAATAGTATTGTGATGCTAGTTAAGGATTGTTCTAAATGTTGATAGAACCAAACTTAAAGGTTGAGTTTGTTTGTGATGAACTTGAATGAGATTCAAGTGTCAATTGGGAAATCATGGAGTAGGAGATCTATGGTGTGGTTTTATGAAGTAGGAGATCTATGGTGTGGTTTTATGAAGTAGGAGATCTATGGTGTGGTTTTATGAAGTAGGAGATCTATGGTGTGGTTTTATGAAGTAGGAGATCTATGGTGTGGTTTTATGAAGTAGGAGATCTATGGTGTGGTTTTATGAAGTAGGAGATCTATGGTGTGATTATATGAAGTAGGAGATCTATGATATGATTATATGAAGTAGGAGATCTATGATGCGAGTGCATGATGATGTACTCGAGCCGAACTCTAGAAATGAGAAGTTGTATTAGGGTTGGACCCTACGTATGTCGTGACCATTAGTCACGGGGTTTTGGAAAATGTTTTATAACAAACATGGGCCTTGGAGCCGACTACTTGACTTTATATAAAGTAAGTATATATTTTGAAAGGGGTAATTTGAGATTACGGCCTATACTATATTATCACCCTATTTGAGGGTCTTGTGTGTGAAATACTTGTTGTATATCTATTAGATGCCTGCCACACCAGCACTTTATAGCCCTATAGAGTGCTGACCCCTTCGGGGGCGTCCCACCACCATTTTTCAGGTTGAGGCTAGAGCTTGCTTCCTGTGCTCGTTGCTCGAGAGATCATCTAGGAGGGAAGACTTGGTTCGTGCTTCCTCCATTCGTTTTTTAAACATTAATAAACATGCTCATGGATATTTTACTTTAGAGCCTGCGTGCTCATGAATAGCCCTGTGTGGCCCTTTGTTTTAAACAATGTTTTCCGCTGCGTTATGAATTACTTATTATGTTTGTTTATGGATGTTACGTGTGTGAATGATATTCAAGACGCCTTGTATAATATGAATGTGTTGGACTGCGGTTGACTATTTGTATTGTACGGCGGGTTGTTGACGTGTCCGGGGAGGTCCGGGGCGTGACAATTAAGTTGGTATCAGAGCCTTAGTCCATAAACTTCATAATGAAGTCTCAAAATTCTCTTTTCAAAATGATTTTTGAAAACCATGAGCAAAAACGTTTTGTACTTAAGAACTTTTGGTGTTTGAGTTGCAAGGTCTCTAACTGTTAAGATGGCGCCCTTAACGATTGGTATGGCGGTGACTTGGCCCAAGAGATGTCTTAAGTGCCTATCTGTCAGTTGACATTTGAAACGAGTCTAATGACTCATTCTAATTATTTCTTTCAGCGATGGAGGGTGATGGTGGTATTATGAATAGGGAGAACTCGGAAGGGTTTGCACCGGGTGGAACCGGGCATGCCAACCGAGAAAAGCCCTTAGGACCAAAGGTGCACGAAACTCTTGAAGCTCAAATCGTGAGGGGTGGTCATGTTAAGACCAAGGAAGAATCACCTTGTTATGGCAAAACTGAACCACTCAAGGCTTCGGGTGACGAAGGAGATGATTTGAGTGATGAGGACCTTGATGGTGCACCCATTGAACAAATGGGCATGGTCATAGATTGGCTTCAACGTGAACGTGTAAGGCTTACACAAAAACGCCAAGCTAGGCAAGCTGAGGGCATACCATTAGTAAGGAAAAGGAAGCGGGGAGACAACGATTCCCAAAGACATTCAAGGAGGACAAACGTTGAGGGTGACAAAACCTTCAGGGCGCAGACACTATCACTTGAGTGGAGTCGAGGCTTGGGTGGCCCGAACTCGAGGTCAAAAGGTCCGAGGGTACCTAAGTGCAACAATTGCAAGAAACACCACTCGGGTAAGTGTCAGGACCCTCCCAGGTGCTATCAATGCACAGAGGTCGGGCACACGAGAGTGAGTTGCCCACAAATTGTGCAAAACCAAACTTCGGGGTCAAGTGGTGGAACTACAAGAAATGAAAACCAAACCGAGGTTTCTCAAGGGAGCAGGGGACATGGGGGAGCAAGCACGAGCAACGCGCCATCCGTGAACCAAGGAAGGACCCAAGCTAGGGTCTATGCGATGACGGAGGCGGATGCTCAAGCTAACCTGGATTCCGTTGAAGGTAGTACCTCTTGTATACTTGTTTTTTATCCTTAATTAGTCCATAAATTGAGGTTGCTAGTCGTTGGGATCATTGTACGAAGCTTTGGGGTCAAACGGAGCGAAATCGGGCGAAAGACGGCTGATTTCCGCCAACGCACACCAGGCTGGACCATACGCACGGCCGTGCGTTGTCCGTGCGTTGGTCCGTGCGTTGGTGGCAGTAGCAACCGGGAAGAAATTGCTATACGCACGGCCGTGCGTTGTCCGTGCGTTGGTCCGTGCGTTGGTGGCAGTAGCAACCGGGAAGAAATTGCTATACGCACGGACGTGCGTTGTCCGTGCGTTGGTCCGTGCGTTGGTGGCAGTAGCTCCGTTTTGAGGTTATAAGACACGCACGCCGTGCGTACCTCCTAGGCACGCCGTGCGTACCTCCTGGGCAGCCCAAAGTCGACTTTTTCGCGCCGTATTGCAACGTTAAGACCCGTTCTTGATCCCAAACATGTGTGTGAACATAATAAACCTCTCTAAATGTATAAGAATGGTAGGAAAGGTATCTCACATGACTTATAAATGTAGGAACACTAAAGATTAATGGGAAGGATGCGCGAATCCTTATCGATACCGGGGCGCAACGTTCATTTGTGAATGAAGCGTTCGCCAAGAGGTTGGGAGTGCAATCCGCACCATTGATGCAAACCTTAGTGGTATCAACACCACTAGGGGATGACGTGGAAAGAACTTGTTACTATCCATCTTGTGGGGTGGAGGTTAATGGTCAAACCTTGACGTGTGACTTCGTACCGCTGAGCATGGTTGAATTCGATGCAATCCTAGGGATGGATTGGCTAGAAAGGAACCATGCTAGGGTAGATTGCTACACGAAGGTTCTTGAACTCGAAGGCAATGATGGGGAGACCCTACGCTTCGAGGGCGATCGAGGGAGATCAAATAGCTGTATCATATCCGCCGTGAGAGCGAAAAGTATGATGAGAAAGGGATGCCACGCATATCTAGCATACGTGGTTGACAAAACCAAAGAAGAAATGAACATCGATGATGTGAGGGTGGTTTGTAAGTATCCGGATGTCTTCCCTAAAGACCTGCCGGGGCTTCCACCTGATAGGGAGATTGAATTTGTGATCGAGGTCGAGCCCGGCACCAAACCAATCTCCATACCGCCATACCGTATGGCACCCGCTGAACTTAACGAGTTGAAAACCCAATTGCAAGAGCTTTTGGATAATGGTTTCATTAGCCCAAGCCACTCCCCGTGGGGAGCACCAGTTCTTTTTGTGAAAAAGAAGGATGGGACACTTCGAATGTGTATTGACTATCGTCAACTGAACAAGGTCACAATCAAGAATAGGTATCCTTTGCCTAGAATTGATGACTTGTTTGATCAACTACGAGGAGCAACTGTGTTTTCGAAGATTGACTTGAGGTCGGGGTACCATCAATTGAAGATTAAGGAAGACGACATACCAAAGAGTGCTTTCCGCACAAGGTATGGGCATTTTGAGTTCCTTGTTATGTCGTTTGGGTTAACAAACGCCCCAGCGGCATTCATGGACTTGATGAACCGAGTATTCCACAAATACTTGGATCGATTCGTGATTGTGTTCATAGATGACATTTTGATTTACTCAAAGAATGAGGAAGAGCATGAAGAGCACTTGATACTCGTTCTTGAGACACTACGGGAGAAGCAACTTTATGCCAAATTTTCTAAATGTGAATTTTGGCTAAAGGAAATTGGCTTTCTCGGGCATGTGGTTTCGGGATCGGGAATTGCTGTTGATAATAAGAAGATAGAGGCCATTACTGAATGGGAGAGACCAAAGAATGTCAAGGAAATTTGTAGTTTCCTTGGACTGGCAGGCTACTACAGAAAGTTCGTGGAGAAGTTCTCTGTTTTGGCATCACCATTGACGAAGCTCACTCGTAAAGGAGCTAAGTTTGTATGGGATGACAAATGGGAGGAGGGGTTCATGGAACTAAAGAAGCGATTGACCGAGGCACCGGTACTTGCATTACCCAAACAGGGTGTGGGGTACGATGTCTATAGCGATGCGAGCATCCAAGGGCTTGGATGCGTACTGATGCAGAATGGGAGGGTAATCGCCTATGCTTCACGACAGTTGAAGAAACATGAGGTGAATTATCCTACTCATGACTTGGAGTTGGGGGCTGTGGTGTTTGCACTGAAGATATGGAGACATCATCTCTACGGGGAGACATGTCACATATACACTGATCACAAGAGCTTGAAATACGTGTTTACTCAGAAAGAGCTAAACATGAGACAGAGACGGTGGATGGAGTTGATAAAAGACTACCATCTAGTGATAGAGTATCACCCAGGCAAGGCAAACGTGGTGGCAGATGCTTTGAGTCGGAAGAGCTCGTCTGGGGCATTGCTAGCTAATTTGAGGGCATTAAGAGCCCAACTGGAGGTATCCAGCGATGGTGCCTTATTGGCACGATTTGAGGTGAGACCTACTTTACTTGATGAGATCAAGAAGGGTCAAGAGACTGACGCAGAACTTATGAAGGTCCGGGAATGCATGCAAGCGGGACCGGTGGAGGATTTCAGGGAAAGAGATGATGGTCTCTTGTTATTTCGTGACCGAGTGTGTGTGCCGTCAGATGATGAGCTCCGAAAGTCCATCTTAGAGGAGGCTCATTCATCGGCTTATGCCATGCACCCGGGGTGCACGAAAATGTACCGTGATTTGAAAGAAAGTTACTGGTGGTCTGGAATGAAGAGGGAAATAGCCGAGTACATCAGCCGATGCCTTACTTGTCAACAAGTTAAGGCAGAACATCAGCATCCAGCAGGCTTGTTACAACCACTTTCCATTCCTGAGTGGAAGTGGGAACATGTGACTATGGATTTCGTGGTAGGTTTACCACGGACAATTCGGAACTACGATGAGGTTTGGGTTGTTGTGGATAGGCTCACAAAGAGTGCACACTTCTTGCCTATCAACACTACCTACCCACTTGAGAGGTTAGCCAAATTGTATACGGATGAGATCGTGAGGCTGCATGGGGTCCCAGTGACCATTGTATCCGATAGAGACCCACGATTCACATCACGTTTTTGGCCGAAATTTCAAGAGTCTATGGGAACGAGGTTGAAGTTCAGTACTGCTTTCCATCCACAGACGGATGGGCAGTCTGAGAGGGTTATACAGATCTTAGAGGATATGTTGAGGGCTTGTGCGTTAGAGTTCCAAGGAAGTTGGGACAACCACTTAGCACTCGTGGAGTTCGCCTATAACAACAGTTATCAGGCAAGTATCGGCATGCCTCCATACGAAGCATTGTATGGGAGGAGGTGTCGTACGCCGTTATGCTGGGACGAGGTTGGCATGGCCAAACTCGAGGGTACTGAGTTGGTTGAGATCACCAAGTCAAAGGTGAAGTTGATTCGAGAGAGACTCAAAGCGGCTCAGGATAGGCAAAAGAGTTATGCAGATAAGCGTCGGAGGACCTTAGAGTTTAAGGTTGATGACGAGGTATTCCTGAAAGTTTCTCCTTGGAAAGGAATCATTCGATTCCAAACCCGAGGAAAGCTTAACCCACGATATATAGGCCCATTCAGAATTATAGAGAGGATTGGGGCCGTAGCATATCGTCTACAGTTGACTCCTGAGTTGGAAAAGATACACAATGTGTTTCATGTATCCATGCTTAAGAAGTATGTGCATGATCCCTCTCACGTATTAGAAAAGCCGCATGTGGAGGTACGTGAGGATTTGAACTACGCTGTGCGACCAATCAAGGTCACCGATAGGAAAGTGAAGAAACTGAGGAGCAAAGAAGTCCCGATGGTTAAAGTCCTTTGGAAGAGCGACCGGGTCGAAGAAGAGACATGGGAAACAGAGGCCTTGATGAGGAAACAGTATGCCTTCCTATTCGAGTAGAGCTGTGAATTTCGGGGACGAAATTCCTGTTAAGGGGGGGTGAACTTGTGACACCGCTCCCGAACGTCCTTGAAAATTCGATTTAAAATTCAAAGTTTATGTATTGAATTTCTGATTCCCAAACAATTGTGAAACGATTGTTGTTTTACGTAATTAATGATTGATTATTATACTGTTCGAACTCGTATATTAGTATCGGGCCTTATTAATAAATAAAAGATCCTAACATTATCTAAATAGTTATACATAACGTTTCAAGACAAGTTGAGGAAGGGCGGGAAGCCCATATATTATTTGGGCCCAACCTGCTAAAGTAGCAAATATTTGAGGACGGCGTCGTAGGCCCACTCGGGGGCGACCCACACGGCTTGTAGCCCAATAATATGAATGACAAATGTCAAGATAAGTGATAGGATGATTAAAGAAGAGTACAAATGCCTATAACCCCATCTTTGGCATTATTGAGCCAAATAATGGGAGTAGGATTTTCCTTCTATATTATCCATCAAGTAAATTATTGAGATGAGCCTACACATATTGGGGATCAATAATGTTATGTAGGAAGTTGACTTGTTCTAAATAAATTAGGATGAGTACAAAAAGACATCTTTGACAAAAGATAAAACAATAGGACCCATTCTTCCATTTTTCGGTGTATTGATAGATATTTTGGATCCCAAATTAATTGGGATCAATGGGGAACCACTCCACATGATATTAGTACCTGCAAGACAAGGAAAATATGTGAGAAGACTCACCTTGGCCGCACCACATGGAGAAGCACTGCCCATGACACAATTGGAATCAAATTTTGGGGCCACCACCACTGTTTTCGCACAAACAGGTGTGCTGTTTTGTCTCCCTTCATTTTGAGAGTTGTACTCGTCCAAATGAGGTGTATAAGGTGTCCTTGGATAGCCTTTGAAGTCTATTTTCATAATTGAGTGGTCTCTGTTCGAGAGGAGAGAGTAGTCATCCAAAAATCGATCTGAAGCGAGCAGTGGTCTGTGAACTCGAGCTGTGAGAGTGCTGAGACTGTTTGGTTGATATCTCGAGTTTTACCAATCCAATTAAGGCGTGTGAGATACCAAAAGAAAGCTCTCAAGACGAGGAATCCGTGAAGGTCTGGTTTGCATCAATCGGAGTAGAGGAAGGCTTCCAAATCGTCCGAGCAGAACGCGACCTCGCAGGGACGGATTTACTCTTCTAAGTGAGTTTTTAATCCCAAAACCTTTCCATTCATTTTCCAAATGATATGAACGATTGGTGGGACTATTATACACTACTCCAAGTGTATAAAACATCCCTATTAAGTTATTTTATTGATGTAAAGGTTAGATACTAACCTAGATGCAAATATTGGAAAACTAGGAATCGAGTTAGCCGGAAAACACCCGTTCTAGGGGCTGTTTTCGTATCAACGATTAGGAGTTGAAATAGCAACTTGAGGAAGCTGTTTAACACCCATTTTCAAGCAAGGAACCAGCTCTCAATATTCCTTGGCCGAGGCTTTGGTCATTGGATCGAGAAGGAAGGTTTTAAAGCTCATTTGAGGTGAGGACCGACATCTAGTTGCTTACAACTTGTAGGTTATGCATGAGATTACCTAAATGCTTAAATCATGTTTTTGTGAATAAATATGCTTGAACATGATATGAATGATAAGTAATGGACTTGATCATAAATTGAAACCATATTGATGAATATGGAGTCATGTGAGATAAAAGTATGCTAAAATGGTAAATTGACCTTCCAACTCATGTATGAATGTTATGTGTATGTAAATGTATGATTGCATGATGATGCTTAGCACATGGGAGGCTGCCACATATCTATTGATATGGAGGGGCTACCATTAATGATAAATGAGTTGTAGGAATAATCTTAATAGTATTGTGATGCTAGTTAAGGATTGTTCTAAATGTTGATAGAACCAAACTTAAAGGTTGAGTTTGTTTGTGATGAACTTGAATGAGATTCAAGTGTCAATTGGGAAATCATGGAGTAGGAGATCTATGGTGTGGTTTTATGAAGTAGGAGATCTATGGTGTGGTTTTATGAAGTAGGAGATCTATGGTGTGGTTTTATGAAGTAGGAGATCTATGGTGTGGTTTTATGAAGTAGGAGATCTATGGTGTGGTTTTATGAAGTAGGAGATCTATGGTGTGGTTTTATGAAGTAGGAGATCTATGGTGTGATTATATGAAGTAGGAGATCTATGATATGATTATATGAAGTAGGAGATCTATGATGCGAGTGCATGATGATGTACTCGAGCCGAACTCTAGAAATGAGAAGTTGTATTAGGGTTGGACCCTACGTATGTCGTGACCATTAGTCACGGGGTTTTGGAAAATGTTTTATAACAAACATGGGCCTTGGAGCCGACTACTTGACTTTATATAAAGTAAGTATATATTTTGAAAGGGGTAATTTGAGATTACGGCCTATACTATATTATCACCCTATTTGAGGGTCTTGTGTGTGAAATACTTGTTGTATATCTATTAGATGCCTGCCACACCAGCACTTTATAGCCCTATAGAGTGCTGACCCCTTCGGGGGCGTCCCACCACCATTTTTCAGGTTGAGGCTAGAGCTTGCTTCCTGTGCTCGTTGCTCGAGAGATCATCTAGGAGGGAAGACTTGGTTCGTGCTTCCTCCATTCGTTTTTTAAACATTAATAAACATGCTCATGGATATTTTACTTTAGAGCCTGCGTGCTCATGAATAGCCCTGTGTGGCCCTTTGTTTTAAACAATGTTTTCCGCTGCGTTATGAATTACTTATTATGTTTGTTTATGGATGTTACGTGTGTGAATGATATTCAAGACGCCTTGTATAATATGAATGTGTTGGACTGTGGTTGACTATTTGTATTGTACGGCGGGTTGTTGACGTGTCCGGGGAGGTCCGGGGCGTGACAGAGGTAGTAGTACTTATGATAAAACTAGTGTAGTGTTCTCCTATCCGGACAAAAAACATAAGAGAGAATTTCCTAAATAAGACTAAAAGAAAGTAGAATTGCAAAAATAGGACTACTATGTTTTATTGGACAAAAATAGGACTAAAAAGAGTTAAACTGACAAAACTATCTTTAATGCTTTCCACTAGTATGTTCACACCCCTGATTCATCGATAAACCACTGCACTCATCCTCCTGCATACTTCGCATCTGCAATTCCTTCGATGAAGTCAGGTAACCCTCTTTTCCTTTTCCTCCTCCTCTTCTTCCTTATTCTTCTTCTTCTCTTGATGTGCTCAACTCCTATGTTTTTATTCTCTTCTTTTGATTTTCAATTTTAAATTAATTATGATTAATTAATTTTAAAACATTCAAATTAATTTTTTTATCAATTGAATCTTTTCCATCATTTGCAATGGAGCCAAAAATTCATTATTTTTTGGCTTAAGAGTATGATGGAATAAAGCAAAATGGCTCACTAAACTGTCTGCGCTTCTTTGTTATGAAGCAGCAGTCAGCCCATGCAATTTTGGACGCAATTTTCACTATGGATCATCCGGAAACAGTCTCTTTGTGTTGTAGTACAGGGGTAAGACTGCGTACATCCCACCCCCTTACCCCACCATAGGTGGGACCCTTTGCGGCATTAGGGTTAATGAAAATGATGAAAATGATCAATTGAATCTTAAAATGGCATCATTGCTGGTTTTTATGACGCTTTGAGAAATGCCACTTTTCCAACCCGAGAATCAGGGAATGTCAAAATTATTGGTTATTAAAAAAGACTGTCATGTTTGTGGCACTATATTTTATCAGGATGACAATCTGAAAATGTCACATGTTCATAAGAAAATGTCATTCTTATAGCATTTTTATGGCTTATCTGAGAATGACATAACTACATGTTATTAGAAATGACATATTTTTGACATGTTTTTCAAATGATGTCAGAATTTTCATCCTCAAATTGCCATTATTTTTCATCTAAAAAATTACATAATTTCTTATCTAAAATTCTATATGTTAACACTTGATAAGGACATGTTTTTAATAGAAAATTGTCATTTTTATAGAAAAATGTCTTGTAAAAATCATGACATTTTCAAAAAAGTAAAGATTTTTTATAATTAAATTTGTGGCATTTTTGTAAGAATTATGACAATATTAAAATAAAAAATGTCAATTGAAATAAAAAATTCAAAATAATACAAAAATGAAAGTTCAGTCAGAAAATGACATCTTCATAAAGTTGTTGGCATAAAACTGACATTGTTTTAACTAAAACTAACATATCTATACTAATATAAAAAGGGAAACCAAGGAAATATGTGGGCCAACAGATGCAACAGTTCGACCATGTGGGCCATTTGCCTTTACACTAATGTTTAGCCTACAAAATTAAAATTCCAATAAGGTTCTGAGATAAAAAATTAAAAAAACAGATTGGCCCATGATATTCACACAGAAAGGTGCGGTGACTACCGATTGTCCATTGCTCAGTCAAAAGGATTAATAATACAAAAATAAAGTAATAAATAAAATTCAAAAAAAACAATGCGGTTACATTGCGACAGTTCTTAATCAATAGGGTTCCATACAATATATAGACACGTTGATCCGCGTAATGGTGTTATCCAAATATATAATAACCGTAAACCAACTACTTAAATTTATAGTAAAATGGTCTCCATCACTTCACATCGTTGTTTGCTTGAAGATTGTTCCATTATTTTGTTTGCCATGAGCGAAAGAATCCTTCCAAAGATGGAGTGCACTCGAATCTCTGGGTTGAATACATCAAGAATCAATTGGGAATTAAGAGTAAGGTTGGTTCGCTACTATGCAAATCCAAATTTCAACAAGCAAGCCAAGACTCCAAATAGTTTGGAATGCATTTTTTACAATTGTCAGGTAATTTAAAATAAACATTTTCATTCACTTTCTTTTAATACAATACCCTGTACCATATTTCGTTTTTATGTTTTTTTTTGTGAAAAAGGCAATTGAATTCATGCTACCTTCCGTAAGGATCTGATTTTGGACTACAAACACATAGTCCATGAGGGAAGTTTGTATTTCCTTAGGAATTTTGTTGTTGTTCCAAACACTGCTCAATACAAAACCACAACTAACCGTTTTAAAATCATTTTTAATTTTAAAACAAATTTGATTGAATATTGTGATGATGAATTCCCGAAGGCCCTTTACGCCTTTAGGTCGTTCCAAGAGTTGAGCAACAGTGATCAAGTGGATCTTAAACAACTCTTTGGTAAGGGTGAATAAAAATTAATTACCACAATTTATTGGGGAGAACAAATTTTCAGATTTTCAAATTGTTTTCATGTCAGATGTTGTTGGGAGTATTGTTTCAATTCACGTACCAGAGCCTCAAGAGTATGATGTTGAAAGTCAAAAGTTGATTGAACTTGTGCTGGAAGATCCTGAATAAGTGAATGAATTTAAAAATGTAACTATGAACACTTATTATAACAAATCAGTACACTTTATTGCAGTAGAATTAAAATTCACTGCACACTTTGGGGCAACCTTGTGGATGCAATACTTGATGCATACAACAAATCCCCTAATTTTATGTTGGCAGCCATTCTGACCTGTTTGTTAAGCCAAAGATTTACAATGGTAGTAGGTTATCAAAGTGTCTTGATTTTCTAGGATGAAACAATGTCAAAAGAAATTAATTTTTAATTGTGATGATTATTTGTATACAGGAGAGGTGGCAGTCTCAAGTTCTTACTTTGCTTCAAAGCTGATCATTAATAGAAAATAAAAAGAGCTGGAAGAATACAAAACCAGAACTAATTAGTTTGTTAGTTCTAGAAGTTTATTTAAACAATTCTGCATGGCCAGAACTCTTACGTGTTGTTCAATGTTTAAAAGGTCATTGTAAGTGCTACATATTGTGTGAAGTTATGGTGATGTTGTACTTCACTTATTTGTTAAGAATATATTAATTGAAAATTATAAAGATATACAAAATTAAAGCTGCTTTAACATAAATTCAATCTTTTTATCACTTGACAACTATTATCAGATCAGACAATTAAGAGAGATGCATACCTGATGGAAAGCTTTCGGTTCTCTTCTTCATGGGCAGTATACCAAAATATTGATTAAGATATTATGCAAATTAAAATGTTGACTAGAGTATAATATTGTCACGTGCATCGCACGGGTACAATACTAGTTCTGAAAAAAATAGTTATGACATTCTTATATTTTAAATTGATGAAAATTGATAAATAAATAAAATTTCAAACACAACAATTTCTTATCACTTGTTTTTCAAAGAAATTTTCAAATCCAAAAAATTACTTAGAATTTGAAAATGCAGTGAATGAATAGAAAACACAAAAAACTGAGTGTAGGAGGTGGAAAAAGAAGAGGAAGAGGAAGAGAAAGAAGAAGAGGAAGACCTGATTTTGCCGGAGGAACCGTTGAAGTGGCTGTCACGCCCCGGATCTACCGGACACGTCAACAATCCGCCGTACAATACGAACAGTCAACCGCAGTCCAACTCATCCATACTGTACAAGGCGTCTTGTATACCATTCACACATAGTACATCCATAAACAAACATGATGTAAAATATTCATTTGAAACAGCGGAAGTAATACAACAGGTGTTCAAGCCACACTTGGAAAACATGGGCACACAAGCCCCCAAATAATTATTCATAAAAATATTACCCATGAGCATTAATTTAATTGTTTCTAAAACAGAAGCGGAGGAAACATGAATCACATCTTCCTTCCTTGATTCTCCTGAAACAACGGCACTGGTAGCAAGCTCAACTCCTACCTGAAACTGTGAGGGGGCCTCCCCCGTGAAGGGAAGGTCAATATTTGGAAGCATTTGACAAGTACAATGACAACTATACTAAGTATAATCAATGTTTCAATTTCCAAGACTCTCAATCTAGGGTGTTATTATATTATAGTAAACCCACGTTTTTTCATGCTAGAGCTCGGCTCACAGTCATACCACATTTTGCTAGAGCTCGGCTCATAGTCACACTACATTTTGCTAGAGCTCGGCTCATAGTCATATTACATTTTACTAGAGCTCGGCTCATAGTCATACTACATAAAGCTAGAGCTCGGCTCATAGTCATCCTACATTTTGCTAGAGCTCGGCTCATAGTCATACTACTACGTGCTAGAGTTCAGCTCATAGTCACGTCATCTATTCTCTAAGCAATTTTCTTAGCCTAGACTCCCTTCATTTTGAGTAACCTTTAAGGCTTACTCCTAATGAAATTAAGGATTTCTGAAGTCCACCTTAAAACAACATTTCTTAAAATATCTCTTGAGGCTACTTAAGGTGTGATCCTCCCATTTCAATATCTTTGGATTGGTTCCAACAATTATTCGAATTAACATTTCCGACTAGTATTCCTATACTAGTCGACCTTAGTATAACCAAGTTCTTGATTCATAGTATTTCGATTTAATTCTTCTTCCAAGTAAAATCTTGTTATAATATCAAAATATCACTTTTATCCTTTCATGACCTCTTTCATGAAGTAAAAGTACATTTATCACAATAAAATCCATGGTTATTATAACCATCATGCCATCATTCTTATAACACATAATCATACACAATTTACTCATAAATTTGTATATTATGCATACTATACCTATAATCATTAGTAATTCTACTTGGGCATTATTAGTCATTGATAATCCATGCAAATCACATTGTTCTCATTTAGGTAATCTTATGAAATTAACCCAATAATTATAAGCAATATAGTCAGTCATCCTCACCTCGAATTAACGCTATGAAGTTCCACCCCTCTTGGTTGAACTCCGGCGAAACTCTGGCGACTTTTGATGAGCTCCGGTGAAAACTTCGGCGACTCTTTCAACCTTGTGAAAGACCTTGAAATACCTCAATCAAGTTCCTTAATTTTCACACTTTTTCCTAGTTTTTTCCTTCTTAAATTGCCCTCTTTGGACCACTTTTTCTTGAGCTCGTTTCTTGGCTATGGAGGATGAGTTTGCAGAGGTTATCTCCCTCTCTTGGTGTGCTTTGGCCGAAATAATGGGTGAGGAAAGAGGGGGTGTGCTTCTCTTTTTGTTTCTTTAGGAAGTTATGGGTGAGGGGGTCCCTTTGGATGTCAAAGGTGTTCCTCCCATCCCCTCAAAAGCTCTCAGCCCATATTTGACACAAATCAGCCCCCTTTGGAAGCCAAATTCGTGGGTTGGCCCCCACCCATATGGGTGGTCAACCCTTTTTGTCCAGAAGTGTACATTCGGCCCCGAAAGTTGTATTTTTCGGACTGTTTTAAATATATTTTATTTTATCGGGTCAAATAAAATATATTACACGTTATCAATCATTATGGCTCTTATAATGAATATATATTCCCCAACATTAATTTATAAGCCCCCGAAATTCATTCCAGGCCGTTATCTGTGAAATTACCAAAACCGGTAATTGAGCCACTTTTGACCAATCGGTCCACATTATATCTTTTCTTTGGCCCAAATAAATTATCCACCACTACATAAACATCATCTCGACCAAGATGAATAAAATGTATGATCTCGGGAATATCGGGCGGTCCCTGCTCCCGGTGTGGGCCCCACGTGCCAGTTTGCTATTCACGCAAAGGCATTAATAAATATTCACAACTTCGTAACCTCATTAATCATTCCATAAGGTTCAATACATTATTCAATTAAAAGTAAATATATTTGGGGACGGTGTTACAGTGGCGGCAGCTGGCGTTGAGCAAACGACTGAGATGTTCGCGGTCGAGATCAATCGATTTCGCTAAAGTTGCGTCCATGGCAATTGAGTCGGGGAAGGCTGTAATCGCAAGTGTAGTGATCGATGGCAGAGGATTGGGGAAAAGTGATTTTGGGATAAAGGGTAAAAATGTAATCTGGAGTCATATTTAGGTAATTTAAAACTTTAAGTCCCATTTGGGGCAATTTCTTAAAACATAACTATTAGATAAGATAGTCATCCGTGAGAGAGTATATGAAAATTGTTATAATACATTTAAATGGCTACAGAGTTATAATGGAGCGACTACATGCAATTAGACATGTTGACACGGTCGAAAATGAGATCTAGTCAGATCTAGTCAATGATTTTACCTTAATAACACGTTAAACGAAGCAAAAGTCATAGAGAAGGTTTCAAACATATGTCAATGGTTTGACCAAACAAAACATCAAAAGAAGTAGAAGTTATGGAGATAAATTCAAACTAATACATAAACCATGTTTGTCATTCATTTATTAGTATTTGTATTATGAGTACATTACAATGTCGAGATCGCGTCAATGTTTTGACTCATTGATCTAAAAATTGGCCAAGTTGGATCGATTAAACAACACCTAGTTGCTAAGCGGCCTAACTGCAGAGGACTAATCGGTCTAGTCGGCCAAAAAATCGGCCTAGATATCCGCCTAATCAGTTAAAATCAGTCTAATCATCCTGACACAATTAAAAGATTTTGAAGATATTACATTATCAGTTATCAATTTTCAAATTCTCCAATACAATATGATTTCAAGATTGTGATGATAGTTTGACCAAATGGAAACGTTATAAGACTTCGAAAGTCAATTTCAACTGAAATAAAGAGTCAAATTCAAACTTGCTTGCTATAAGTGATAGTGTAGTATTGTCTTCATATTTCTCTTGATTGTGACAGGATGCAACCTAATAAATAAATGACATATATGATTTATTTGTAATTTTGATTTTTTTTTACTCCAGGGGGTCTGGGGGAGGGAGGATGGGGGGAGCTTGAAGTAATCAGGGCTGAAACTCACTCCATTGAGTTTAGAACCCTTATGTGCCTAGCGGGTTTCGAACTCGAGACCTCTCACTAGGCACGGTAACCTCACAACCAGCTGGCTTGGAATACTTGGTTTTTATTTATAAGTTTGAATTTAACTCCATAGCTTCTACTCCCACTGTCCTATTTTACGTGTCCTACCATTTTCGGATTGTCCCAAAACATTTTCCTTTTTGAAAAGAAATATGTAGTCTACAACATTTCACTTTACTATATTCAAATTTCAACTTTTTACTTTTTCAACCACTGTATTAATAATTCTGTCAAACCAAAGTACTTCTTTTGATGTTTTAATTTGGTCAAACCGCTGAGGTAAGTTTGAAACTGCCTCTATGACCGTCTCCTTTTAACGTTTTAGTTAGGTAAAATCATTTATGAGATCTCGACACAATAATAGTGTACTAGGAGGATCCCATAAAACTTGACCAAATTTTCATTTTTGATCTATTCCGAAAAGACTTTGTCATTTTCATTTAAAGTAGCAAATATGTGACTAAAATTGTCTCTCTCTCTCTCCTCCAAACAAATTTCAACCATATAATATTTACTTTATTAATCTTTGTGTAGTCAACTTTGATCAAGTTTTATGAGTCGGGTAAGGTAACAAATTAATACGTAGTAAGAGACATCGGAATACCGTCCTCATAGTCATTCTGGCGCGTCATGATGCAACGTAATGGGATAAGTCATAGACATGTTCATTTATATATAAGTTTGAATTGGACTGCACTAATTCTGCTTGTTTTAATGTTTTAATTTGGTCAAATCATTGACAATATCTGGAAATATCAAAATCGTATTGGTAAATTATTAGGGTATGGTAATACTTTTCTCAAATGCGTTTTGATGTGTCAGAATGAAGCATAATGAATAATCGATAAAAAAAATACTATTTGTAAATTTCACATTTATTTATTGGTGGCCGGTATCATATTCGTCTTTTCTTAAATAATCTTATTCTTGAAAAGCCTTACATATTTATGAATCACTACAAGCAAATTGTCATTTACCAAAGTGCAATTATCAATATAGAGTTTTAAATAAGAAAACATTGAAATGAAAAAGGTAACTGTAGATTAATAATACAACAAGGACATATGGTTAGCATTTAGGACCATTACGGTACATTTAGTAAATAAGATAGGGTCTAAACTCTAAAATGCTAATTGAGATTTTGCTCTTATTTTTGTCCTTTCAAGTTTCGCCTTTCTGACTAGTGGCACTAAACTCTTTCCATCACAAATTCACAACGCTCAAATTTCATTTGTGCAAGCCTAGCTATGTGCGCATAATTTTACATTTTATGGTGTGTATTCAATGACAATATAGCTTTGTCACAATTTACTCAATTGACCCCCACTATCCAAACAAGGAGTCCAGATTCCGTGTAATATTCATTTTTCTATCATTCGCTAGACTTAATACTGCCTAGTCTAGTCGGTCTAGTCATCCAAAAATCAGCCTAGTTGTTTGCCTAGACAACGCCCCTCAATCGCACGACTAGCGCCTAACGATTTTTAGAATAATAGTTTGACTAAACTAAAACGTTAGAACATATTGAAGTTAAGGAGTTAAGTTCAAACAGAGTTAAAGAGTGAAATTTAAATTTACATACCTTATGTTCTTCTTCATCACTGGTGTGTAGCATATAATGGGCACACAACTATTTTTTACCCAAGGAAGTAGGGTGTCGAACCACAGAGAAGCGGGAAATAAAATAATTAAGCACAAACTAAGGATTAAAGTTGGAAGTGCGTTTCTTTTGATTTTTTTTTGGTTGCTTGGAAAAGTAATAAAATAAAAGTGATTGAGATGAGAGATTTTTATCAACACAAAGTTCAACCAATAGCAAGTAGGGGTAGAAATTGGTAACTAATTGTTCAATGTTTAATTGAAAGAAATAATTGCTAATTTTATTCGTAGATAGATTGTGAGAAGTTGTGGATAAATATTTTAGGACCCAACACAAGTCATCTAAAATAAGTAACTAGTCAACATTTCCCAGTGATGGCCAAAACGAGACTAGTTGTTTAAGTGCAACGACAACCTTAATTATTAACTATATTATTTACCCAACCCCGTGGTGTAAATAATATAATTAAATAATTAAATTCCCCCGTAAAACTTCAATCCGGGACAAGGTAAAAGAAGTTTAACGGTGTGTTCAGAAAGTGTTCATTTGTGTATTTAACAAACAATATGTTTATGATTGAGTACTCATAATATATATCACAAACATAACTTAATTAATTTTCTGGACACAACAATCTAAATAGAACAAACTTAACAATTAAAATCAATACAAATTAAAACATGATAAGAACAATTAATTAACCAATTTCTAGCCCCAAATTTATTTAGCTATACATGTTTGGAAGCATAGAAATAGATGAATCCATAATTAAAGTACAAGATTTAATGAGATAAGGAAGATCAAACTTGTGATAGATGACAATCCTTGAAGCTTTGGTGCTAATCTTGACTTAATCTTGGATAAGGAAGTGATTAGTTGTGGTTGAAGATGGGTTGATGATTTGGAAGTGAAGAATGAAGAGAGAAGGAGGAGGAAATGATTCTGGGAGGTTTAGAGAGAAGTTGGCTCGAGATTATGTGTGGAAGGAGATGGATTAGGCTATATAATGATAAGGTGATTAATGATTAAGTGCTGGAATTTACGGGGCATATAGTTTATATACAACAAAGCGAAGTAAAATTCCAATAAGGTGCAGCAGCCCAGTGGACGAAGTGCTTAAGCCTATAGCAGAGGTCGCGGGTTCGATTCTTGCTTCGGACTTTTGTTCCTTTTTCCTTTGATGCGATTACAAGTAATATTTAAACTGCCGGCTGATTATGTACAACGTGGAAAACTTAGCACACTGGTTCTTATAGGCATTCTTCTACCCTTTGATCAGGGATCAAATCCTAGCTCCACCATTTTTATTTTTGCTTCTTTTCTTCAATTTACTCCTTATTTGTTAGGAAGGAAATTCCACTTTTATTGACCTTCAGCTTGAACTTTTATTTTCTTCTTTTGTTCACACTCAAATGTATCCAAATAGCATCAAAAGTACCTGAAAATACAAAATACCCGTGTAGGACTGCACTAATACAAACTAACGACAAATAATAAAAATATGTACAAAAGTAGAACTTTAATAACTAAAATTAACAACAAACTAAGCTTAAAAAGTGTGTAAAATATAAGTACATCAATCACACATATATCTTGCAAAGTGTGAATGGCTTACACCTGTATTGAATGACATATAATAGTTTATTTTAACACGGTTAACCACTACAAAAAAACACCCCATTACCAACGGAACTTTTCTAGCATTTTTGTTGTTGGAAACTTTCCAATGGATTTCCAATGAAGTTCCGACTTCGCCGTTGGAAATCTGCTTCAATCTCGTTGGAAAATTTTAACTTTGTGTACGGATAGCACCGGTTGGAAGTCTGTTGGAAGATCATTGGAATTCCGTTGCAAAGCCGTTGTGGGAGCCGTTGGAAAGTCTCACTCGTAGTTTCCGTCCGAAATCCGTTGGAATGCAGTCGGGATTTTTTTCTATCTTAAGTTTTTAGGTCTCCATCAGAGATTTGGAAACTTTAGTACTACTCCTTGCACTACTCTCTCTTCAAATATCACGAAGCAACCGCTAAGGCGTAAGGAAGAAAACCTCGCTCCAAGAATTGACGAGCTGTTCCTCCTTCCTCTACGTTGCTTATCTTCTCAAGCAACCTATGGCCCTCGCGGACTAGCTAAGAAATCAACACATCCATCTCCTGCATACCGCTACATCATCTCCTTTAGAAGAAACGCACTTCAGGTTGAGATTTATTCCAAAACTTTCCATGTTTTTTTCGATTACAGCTTTAAAATATGCAGTACAGATTTATTCTAAAATTTTCCATGTTGTTTTTTCCTGTAGTTGAACCACACTTATCCTCAAGCCGAAGAATCTGATATTAAGAGTGGATTTCACATAGTGTTCAACATGGTTGAAGAATGTTCTTCATCAAGCTCAAACAAACAAGGGACAGATAGGATTGAAGAGTTGTATTCTAGTTTTAATATTTGTTTGTGAACATCCCGTTGACGTATTTGTATTGTAATGAACGAGTTACTCTAGTTTGTATGTTAAATGAAATCAGATATTGTGTTTGAACTTCTTTCTGGTATGAAATCGATCCTATTTTGCAATTTTTGTGACGGGTGCCAAAACTACAAGCATTCGCTAATAATAAACGGAAATCGATTTAATAGCTTTATTTTCAAGAATTATTTTATAATTTTTCCAACGGAATGATCCATCGGAAATCTGTTGCTAAGTGTAGCAATACCAAGAAACACAACCGTTCGATGTAGCTGGTTTCCAAGGACAATTTTCTGCTGGAAATCTGTTGCAAATTTCCAACAAAATTAGTTCATTGGAAAACCGCTAGAAATTCAATCATTCCGTCGGAAGGGATCGTCGCAAAAATTTCCAACGAGTGCATACCAGCGGACTGTTTTGCTCGGAAATCTGTTGGAATGATGTTGGAATGATGTTTTTCCAACGACTTTTGTAATTAAATCTATTGGAACTTTCGTTGGGAATAGAGTGTTTTTTGTAGTATCAAAGATTGTATCGATTAGATGCTTAGGTGATAATATACTCTGTATTTAAGTGTTGGTGACATAAATGTTCTGCTCACATGTAAATTTTTTCACACATCCTAAGGGAATATAGCATTCTCATTATAAGGAATTTGATATTTCATTTAAATACTCGCGTCAAATATTTCTTTATAATACAAGTACAAATTCTTTAGTAATTAATTTCCTTAAATGACGTTTACTACCAAACCTGTGCCACATCCGTGTGAAAGCAGTGCCAAAATCTCTACCAAATACGTTTTGATACATATAGTTCCTCCCAATCTTTGATAAAGATCCATGCCATCCCACTATCTTTTGAACTATTAATCATAAGATGTAGGTGATTTATATATTACTCATATGGTTATGTAACAAAATTCATTAATGCATAATGCCACTTTAGAATCATATAACTTTAAATAATACATGAAATTGATATAACTAATAAGCAAATATCAAACTTAACAAAAGAGTATTTAGCATTTATTCAATACATTATACTGGCACATCAGAAGGACTGTCAGGATAGTTCAAGATTACGATTTTGAGATCTCATTAACGGTTTGACTAAACTAATACATAAAAAAAAGTTGAAGTTATGGAGATAAATTCAAACTTATACATAAATCATGTATATCATTTATTTATTAGGTTGCATATGGACATAATTAGGAGGACTATGAAGACAGTATCACACTATTGTTATGATGTTCAGATCGCGTCAATCGTTTGACTAGGGAAAAACGTTAGGAAAAAACGAAGTCAAGGGGTCAAGCATTTCACACTGAGTTAAAGAGTTAAAGAGTTAAATTCAAATTTACATGACACATATGTTCTTCATCACACCTATTATCTTGCAATGTGTGAATTGCTACTTACTTCGGAGTACTATATTAGACAATGAGCGAGGTTTATTTTAATCCTATAACCCTTTATTCGTGCAAAGATTGTAACTACTAGATATTATTGCGTGAGGACGGGATTACGTTATATGTTACTAAATTGCTATTGCTACAAAAAATATATTTTGGCGAAATTGGCATGGAACGGGTCGAGTTTGCCATGTATCATAATATATTTTTGGTACAACTATGTTCCAAATAGCTATATATAAAATGACGTTGGCACATATTTTGACGATCCGTGCATGGATAAAATGTACCTTTTTCATAACTAGAAATAGAAATCAAGTTTATTTTCATAAAGGATTTTACGAAACCAAAATGTTAGTAGAAGCAAAAGTATGGAGACAAACTCAAACTTATAAATAAATTAAGTCCATCATTTATTCATTAGGTTGCATCCTAACACAATTAAAATGATTTTGAAGATATTACATTATCAGTTATCAATTTTCAAATTTTCCAATACAATATGATGTCAAGATTGTGTTGATAGTTTGACCAAATGGAAATGTTATAAGACTTCGAAGTGAATCAGTCAATTTCAACTGAAATAAAGAGTCAAATTCAAACTTGCTTGCTATAAGTGATAGTGTAGTACTGCCTTCATATTTCTCTTAATTGTGACAGGATGCGGCCTAATGATTAAACGACATATATGATTTATTTATAAGTTTGAATTTAACTCCATTGCTTCTACTCCCCCCGTCATATTTTACATGTCCTACCCTTTTTGGATTGTCCCAAAACATTTCCCTTTTTAAAAAGAAATATGTAGTTTACAACATTTCACTTTAATATATTCAAATTTCATCTTTTTACTTTTTCAACCACTGTATTAATAATTGTGCCAAACCAAAGTACTTCTTTTGATGTTTTGATTTGGTAAAACCGCTGACGTAAGTTTGAAACCGCCTCTATGACCGTCTTCTTTTAATGTTTTAGTTAGGTAAAACCATTTATGATATCTCGACATAATAATAATAATAATAATGTACTAGGTGGATCCCATAAAACTGGACCAAATTTTCATTTGTGATCTACTTCCCAAAAGATTGTCATTTTCATTTAAAGTAACAAATATGTTACTAAAACTATTTCTCTCCCCTCCAAACAAATTTCAACCATATAATTTTTACTTTATTAATCTTTGTGTAAGTCAAATTTGGTCAAGTTTTATGGGACGGATGGAGTAACAAATTCATTTCCTTAAATGATGTTTACCACCAAACCTGTGCCACATCCGTGTGAAAACCGTGCCAAAATCTCTATCAAATACATTTTGATACATATAGTTCCTCGGTTCCACCCAATCTTTGATAAAGATTCATGCCATCCCACTATCTTTTGAACTATTAATAATAAGATGTAGGGGATTTATATATTAATCATATGGTTATGTAACAAAATTCACAAAATGCGTAATTCCACTTCAGAATTATACCCCTTTAAATAATATAGGAAATTGATATAACTAATAAACAAATATCGAACTTAACAAAAGAGTATTTACCATTTTATCAATACACTATACTGACACATCAAAAGGAGTGTCAGGATAGTTCAAGATTACGATTTTGAGATCTCATTAATGGTTTGACCAAACTAATACATAAAACAATTGAAGTTATGCAGATAAATTCAAACTTATACATAAATCATGTCTATCATTTATTTATTAGGTTGTATATGGACACGTTTAGGAGGACTATGAAGACGGTATCACACTATTTCATATTTTTTTTTCCCAGGGGGCGTCGGGGGAGGGGGCCTGGGGTAAACTGGGATCAATCTCACTCCATTGAGAATTGAACCTGGGACCTCCCATAAGGTATGTGAGTCAGCGACCATCTGGGCTGAACTGCTTCCCCCATATTAAAATTTTAGTATGTTATGATGTCTAGATTGTGTCAATGGTTTGACTAGGGAATGACGCTAGGAAAAACGAAGTCAAGGGGTCATGCATTTCACACTGAGTTAAGGAGTCAAATTCAAATGTAAATGACATATGTTCTTCTTCATCACACTTATTATCTTGCAATGTGTGAATTGCTAATTACTCATGTATTACATAATAAGCGAGGATTATTTTAATCCTATTAACCTTTATTCGTTCAAAGATTGTAACGACTATATATTATTGCGTGAGGACGGGATTACGCTATGTGTTACTAACTTGCTATTACTACAAAAACAATGGTATTGGCACGGAGTTGGCATGGATTGATCGAGTTTACCATGTACCATACTCTCTCCGTATTTTAAATTTTCCTACACTTTCCTTTTTTGGATGTATTTCAAAGTTTGCTACACTTTCCCTTTTTGGTAAGTTTTTATCTTTAAAATACTCAATTACCCTTACTTTTTCTACTTTTTATCTTCCCGTTCATACTCTTACACCTTCTCTCCTACTTTTTCTACACTATTCATTACCCATATTATTTCTCCCTTAAATGTTGTGCCCAAACCTAATGTAGAGAACTTAAAAAACGGAGGGAGTAATATATTTTTGGTACGACTATGTTCCAAATAGCTATATATAAAATGATGTTGGCACATATTTTGACGATCCGTGCATGGATAAAATGTACCTCTTTCATAACTATAAATAGAAATCAAGTTTACTTTCACAAAGGATTTTACAAAACTAAAATGTTAGTCGAAGTAAAAGTATGGAGACAAATTCAAACTTATAAATAAATTAAGTCCATCATTTATTCATTACGTTGCATCATGACACAATTAAAATTATTTTGAAGATATTACGCTATAAGTTATCATTTTTCAAATTTTCCAATACAATATGATGTCAAGATTGTGTTAATAGTTTGACCAAATGGAAATGTTATAAGAAGTCGAAGTTAATCAGTCAATTTCAACTGAAATAAAGAGTCACATTCAAACTTGCTTGTTATAAGTGATAGTGTAATACCGTCTTCATATTTCTTTTGATTGTGACATGATGCAACGTAATAAATAAATGACATATATGATTTATTTATAACTTTGAATTTAACTCCATAAGTTCTACTCCCTCCGTCCCATTTTACATGTCCTTCCCTTTTGTGGTTTGCCAAAACATTTCCATTTTTGAAAAGAAATATGTGGCCTACAACATTTCACTTTATTATACTCCTTCTGTCCCGAAAAGGTTCGCCAACTTTGACTTTCACATGGATTAATAAAGTAAAAACTGTGTGGTTGAAATTTGTGCAGAGAAGAGAGAATTAACTTTAGCCACACATTCCTTACTTTAAATGGAAATGGCAAATCTTTTTGGGACATCCAAAAAGGGAAATTTGGCAAACCTTTTCGGGACGGAGGGAGTATTCAAATTTCAATCACAACTTTTACTTTTTCAACCACTTTATTAATAATTGTGCTAAACCAAAGTACTTCTTTTGATGTTCTAATTTGGTCAAACTGCACACGAAAGTTTGAAACTGCCTCTATGACCGTCTTCTTTTAACGTTTTAGTTAGGTAAAACCATTTATGAGATCTTGACATAGTAATAATGTACTAGAAGGATCCCATAAAACTTGACCAAATTTTCATTTTGGTCGTCCCAAAAAACTTTGTCATTTTCATTTAAAGTTACAAGTATATATATGTGACTAAACAAATTTCAACCATATAATGTTTATTTTATTAATCTACGCGTAAGTCAACTTTGGTCAAGTTTTATGAGACTGATTGAGTAACAGATTAATACGTAGTAATAGTCCTCAGAATACCGTCCGCAGAGTCGTTCTGGCACGTCATGATGCAATGTAATGGGATAAGTCATAGACACCGTTCATTTATAAGTTTGAATTTGACTGCACTACTTCTGCTTGTTTTAAGGTTTTAATTTGATCAAATCATTGACGATATCTGGAAATCTCAAAATTGTATTGACAAAATATTAGGGTAAGGTAATACTTTTCTCAAAGGCATTTTTGATGTGTAAGAAGGAAACATAATGAATAATTGATAAGAAAACACTATTTGTAAATTTTGCATTTATTTATTGGTGGCCGGTATCATATTCATCTTTATTAAATGATCTTATTCTTGAGAAGCATTACATATTTCTGAATCACTATAAGCAAATTGTCATTTACCAATGTGCAATTATCAATTCAAAGTTTTAAATAACAAAGTATTGAAATGAAAAGATAACTGTAAATTTATAATGCAACAAGGACATATTATTAGCATTTAGGGCCATTCCGGTACATTTAGTAAATAAGATAAGGTCTAAACTCTAAAGTGCTAATTTTGTTTTTGTTCTTATTTTTGTCCTTTCAAGTTTCACCTTTCCGACTAGTGGCACTAAACTCTTTCCATCACAATGCTCAAATTTCATTTTTTTATAGTTGGTCAAATTTCATTTGTGCAAGCCTATGTGCGCATAAGTTTACATTTTATGATATGTATTCAATGAATATAGCTTTGTCACAAATTACTCAGGGTTGGTTTGCAACTGCTTTTAAAAAAGCACTTCTCACCTTTTGGCTTTAAAAAAGCAATTATTTTCCCAAACACTACAACTTTTATTTTTCTCGACTTCCGCGTCAAAAGTGCTTTTACTTTTTCTATTACACAAAAAGCACTTATTTTACCAAACACTACTCACTTTTACTTTTCAAAATCACTTTTTTCTCAAACACTATCAACTTTTATTTAATCACTTCTCCCCATTTCATTAAAAAAAGCACTTTTTAAAAAGCAGAAACTGTTGCAAACAGACCCTCAAACAGACCCTCAATTGACCTCCACTATCCAAACAAGGAGTCGGGTGTTATATTCATTTTACTATCATTGGCTAGACTTAATACTGCGTATCATAGGTGTCATCTCAATTTGACATTTACTTATGCACAAAGCCACAAAGTGCTTACTGTATAATATGGAATATAGTTATGTACTTCTGTTTATATTTAACAATGACCCACATTTCATGCTATATGTGCAAATGTGCAATCAAAACTAAAGTCATTGAAAATGAAGAATAAAGGATGATTTGGTCGGGAGGCAACTTAGAGATTTACCAATTCCAAATGACAGCAAAAAGGAATAGCATAATCATCATCATCATTCATGGAGGGCGTGCAAGATAAACTATAACACACCTCCTGATTTAAGATGTTTAAATTGTAAAAAGTATAGTTTTTAGTAGTTCATAATCATTTTTCAACTTATAATGAAGAACATATAACTATTTCATGATACAATTTCAAAATATAGGGAAGATTAAAGTTGCACACATGGATCGGAGTACTCTATAGTTTATACTCGCATGTGTGTGTAGTACACACTACTACACACGACTTGATTTTTATTATTAGCATATCATATGTTTTTACCTGAAATGAAATACTTTGTAATACGGAGTAATAATTTATTTAGATATATATATATATATGGTTTGATCTAAAAGTTCACAAATCACAAATATGTTTGTAGGTCAAATCTTAAACTTCTTTTCATAAAAAAAAAAAGAGAGAATTCCCTAAATAGGAGTAAAAACGTTTTGAAATTCCAAAATAGGAGTATCATGTTTTTTATTCCCTGAATGGGAGTAAATTTCTACCAAGTTTGGCATTACAAGGCTTTAAACATGACATTTTTTCCAAACTTGACAGATTACTCCTATTCAGATAATAAAAAACATGATACTCCTATTTTTAAATTTCAAAACGTTTTTGCTCCTATTTAGAAAATTTCAGTAACAAGAATATGGTACTCCCTCCGACCCTTTAACTTTGCAATCTTTTTGTTTTTCGGTTAGTTGTTCCAAAAAACTTTGTCAATTTTTCTTATAATCAATTAATTTATGTTTCTTATCACTAATCTCTCTACACAAATCTCATTCACACACCTTTTATTTTATTAATTTTCATGTTGGTCAAATTTGACAAATTTTTGAGAGACACGGGAGTATAATTTTTATCCAGTGTATTTACATTTGATATATTTAAGTTTAGTATGATATTATATTATTTTGAAATAAGTTCAAGTCAAAACATTCGTTATCTACATGAAATAAGACAATTTTGCATCTTATGCTAAGAGCCCGTTTGGTAACTCTTATTTTTAGTTCATCAGTTAACTTTTTTATCGAATATTTAATTTTTTAATTTGCTTGCTAAATTGTATAATTAATAAGTATGTATGAAGTTACTTTTCTTGTCAAATTGACATATGTTACTATCGGAGGAATCTAATTAACTATTTTCCATTAAATTATTTCCTTATTTAATTAACAAAATACAATTCAACCAATTTAGTGTAAAGAAGCCATCTCTAAACATGTTTTTCATTTTTATACATCCCATGATAAAGTTTTTCATTTTCATCTCTAAATATAATTATATACTCCCTCCGTTTCAAAATAAACCTCACAGTTTGACTTTTGCGGTCTCCTAGGCGGACGTTTGACCGTAATTTCCTATTAATATATGCATATAAAATCTATAATAAATTGATATTTGAAAAATACATATTACAATGAAGCACATAATATAATTTTTTTGGGATAAAATATTATTAATTTTGAGTAATAAGCGGTCAAAGTTTAACAAGTTTGACCCAAAAAGTTTGACTGTGAGGTTTATTTTGAAACGGAGGGAGTAATTTTTTACCTCCTTTCAATTTGAAAAAATTTTAACCACAAAATCTTTTTCCTTTTTTTATGGTAACCACAAAATCTTATTAATCCTATAAAACGGAAAGAAAATATGGGACTAAGAAAACACGAAATAATATCACGGCAAGCAAACTTTAACTTCACAAAGTTTCATCAATTTATCATGCAAAATTTTCTAAAATTTAAATCCAATTCTTTTCAAAACTAATTCCGGTCATTGTCGATCTCCTATCAAGCTATCGCATTACAATTGATTCATGAGGGTACCCATATCAATTAATATTCACCGCCGGATTTTCAAGACCCGCGACCGGCCACCTCACCGTCGGCACACACTCCGACCTGTGCCGAGACCTCCAATGCATGGCCTGGCAAGCGCGGGAGCAGTAATTGACGGAGCCGCAAACGGAGCACCGACGGAACTCGTGCCGGCGCAATTCGGGTCTTCCACAGCCCGGGTTGCAGCAAACCCGGAGCTCCACACCCGGAATACCCGCGAAAGGCAGAAACCATTCGGTCAGGAATTTATTAGCCGGGTGGGGCTCCGGAACGGGGACGTTACACCCGAAATCGCTCAGTAACGGACAACTCGCCACACCGCCCACGTGGATGTCGTACCGCCGTACGGGGTTTAAAGCCTCCCACGAGTTAACTGGCGGCGCCGCCGCCGCGTAAGCGGCGAAAACTTCATTGACGTTAGCTTGGACGAGCAGCCGCCGTCCCTCGACCACGTTCCTCTTGACGCCGTAACCATCCTGGAAACAATGGCCGAGCTCGCGGAGCGCGTCGAGGTGCCCCATCGACGCCGCCCGGGCGCAGAGCGCGACGCCGGCCCGGAGATCCTTATCCGTCTTCGACCTGCCGCTGCCGTTGAAGTGCATGATCGCCAGCGAGTAAAGCGCCGGAGCGTGTGATGCAATCGCCGCCTTAGCCATCAGCGATGCGCCGCTTGCTCGATTCCGGAAGCAGTAGAATCGAATCTGCTTTTCAAAAAAAAAAAAAGAATTTACCCCATTGGGTATCTAAGGATTAAGAATTCTTACTACCAATTATTGAAATTTTAGTTATCTGTAAAACTGTAATACTGACCATGCCCAGAATGTAGCAAGCTTCGACATTTCCGGCATCAGAACAGAGCTTGAGGAACCGGTGAGTTGACCCGGTCCAGCTGGCAGCTTTGACGGCTAACATTTTCAGAGAAGCGACGGATAACACCATTGGGTGGAATCCTAGCCCATTGAATCTCTTGCATCTGAAATCAGAATCCCAAATCAAAGAATCATAAAAAAAAACCATCTTTTTGAATCTTTATTAATGAATGAGACTAATCAATCGTACGTGATCAGAGCAGAAAAGAAGTCTGCAGATGAATCTGCAGAAGAAGAGAGTTTGGAGAGAACAGAGAGGACGATATCGTCCGGCAAGCAGTCAAAGTAGTCAACTTTCGGCGGCCTTCCCGTTGACCGATGTCTCAGTCTTTTCCGACCAGCGGCGCGTTCTCCGATGGGAACGGCGTTAGTTCTCCTTCTCTTGACGACAGGTTTATCTGCGGCAATGTCCAGTCCCGGAAACGAAGGTCGTCCTCGTTTCGTTATCATCCCGTTCGACGTCTGAATTTGTGGATGGATTTTGTTTGTCAAAGGATGAAGAACACTTGAGTCAAACGGCTTATATATGTGTAGTTGTGTACAAATACTCCCATTTTTCTACTTCGTATTATACGGAGTACAATGTACTTGGTATTTGTTAATTTCCAATGCCAGTAATGTGTATTTTTTGAGAAATAAACAACAATGGTGTCATTTGATTAAGGGAGTGTTTGGGATTGCTTCTATTTAGAAAGATAATTTTTTAAAGTGATATTGGAGAAAGTGATTAATAGTAAAAGTTGGTAGTGTTTGATAAAATAAGTGTTTTTTGTGTAATAGAAAAAGTGAAAAGCAGTTTAAAGCACTCCTCCAACTGCTTTCAGCTTTAAGCTTTTAAGTACTTAATTTAAGCGGAATCTGTCACTTGAAAACACACATTTCAACTTTCATTAAGTCAAAAGCTGAACAACATTTTTTTTAAAATTTTCTGCAAACACTCCCTAAATGCATTGATATTTTTGTGTTAGTCTTGTTTAAAACTTTTTATCATAAGTAAAAACGACGTACGGTACTCGGTACGCATGAGAATCATTTATTTATTTAGAATCGCTAAACCTAAACGCTTCAAAATCTGTGTTTAAATTTTTGGCATTTCAGGCCAAAACGTCACACTAATAAGTCATTCGACCGAACAATTAAAAACAACGCTTTGACTAATTAAAAAAATGAATTTGGTCAGACCAGACAATTTTAGCCTGAATCGTCACACTAACAAGTCATTCGCCGAACAATTAAAAATTTAAATAACGCTTTGACTAATTAAAAAAAAAAACTGAATTTCGTCAAACCGGACAATTTTAGCCTGAAACGTCACACTAACAAGTCATTCGACCGAACAATTAAAATAACGCTTTGACTAATTAAAAAAAAAAATTGAATTTGGTCAAACCAGACAATTTTAGCCATTTACCAAAAACATAGTCTCTCGCTAGTCATGAACACTAAAAGTTATTTTATCTAAAAGACCCTATTATTGAAAGAAATGTGATAATTTCTACTACCTCAGTCCCGGAAACAATTTCCTGGGTTGACTTTCACACATTATAAAGAAATAAAGTTACTTAGGAGTAAATTTTACTGTTCTGACACTGTTTTGCACTGTTTGGCACTGTTTTGCACTATTTTGATGTAGATAATTTGCCAAATAAGGAAGTGAAAAGTTTAGTTTGGGACATCCAAATAAGGAAAGTGAGAACTTGTTTTCGGGAGGAGGAAATATTATTTTATATTTTCTGTAATACGTGCCCCTCATAATTTAAAAATGTCACCAGTTTTTACGCAAGGTTCATTATTATTACTTTATTAGCATATTTAGAGTTGTATTTCAAATTCACTGATAAATTGATTCTTAATTTCAGGCAAATGACTTTTTTCACGTAACTCATAATATATAATTACTGAGAAAGTGCTTAATCGTTAGAATTTCTCAATTTATTTTTACTTGAGGACTGAAGGAGGGTAATTGTTGGATCACGATTCATGAACTTTTTCAACATAATAACCCATTCATTTAGATTGAAACTTACTCGCATGATTCAAGCTCAACTGGTCTCGTATAATTTGATTTGGTAAGTACTCGACTTTTTTTTATTGTGTCTAGTGTAAGCTGATATGAAATGAGAAATTGTATTTTATTATTATCTAATTATATAATGTCATCTTATTTTGAGCGCGTTTGGTAACATTGTTATTCGGCTTATCAGACTTATCAGCCAACTTTGTCACCAAACACGTAACTTTTGATTTCACGCGCTGATGTGTAATAATAAGAAAAAGTAAGGTTGAAGTTACTTTTCTGGCTATTTCGGTTGAAGTTACCGTAGATGACCATTTTAGCTGTTTTTACATATAATTTTTCTTTTTTTATTAATAAGATATATTTTTCTAAGTTCATGTCTCCTAAGTTCTAATTTTTCTAAATTTGGTCGAGTCTCATTTTATTTGACTTGATCCACTTTAAAATTTATATAAATAGATTAGAATTTAGACCTCACTTAAATTGTATTACAGAAACAAATTAAAAAATAAATTAGCCCAATTTCAAAAGACATAAAATGTGTATTCAGGGGCGTAGGGGCTAAGGGCTTCTTCAATTCAATACGGAGTACTCTGATCCGTATGTTTTAAGGTTTTTGAAAAGGTAAAAATAATTTATCTCATCGATAATTTTTTTGGCTTTTTTATTCAAACGAGGCTGTTTGGCAACACTCTGTTTCGGCTTGTCAGCCTTATCAGCCAATTTTTTCACGAAACACGTAACTTCTGATTTCGCGCGTTATGCTGCTGAATTGTGTAATAAGCAGAAAAAGTAAAGTTGAAGTTATTTTTCCGGCTATATTGGCTGAAATTACTGTAGATGATCATTTTAGCTGATTTTACATACGGAGTATAATTTTATCTTTATTTTATTAATAAAATATATTTTAAAAAATGTTTTTTCCTTAAAACAGCAAATTCAGTCAATTCAACCACTTTAGTCAGAACTTCATAAATTTCAACAGAATCAGTCAATTTTTGTGCTACCAAACGTGCTCTCAATTTATTACTACTACATGTTAAATGACAATATAAGTTTTGAAATTATAAGTACACGGTAAAACAAAAACAAAAACACAAAAAGTAGTCGATTAATCCGTGGCCGTATCTCTACTTTCACTCAAAATACGGAGTATGGCATTTTGTAACTGAACGCATGTCAGTAATGAATCATTTGACCGTACAGGAAAAAACGTACCAAATGGCCAAACCATTTGACCAATTGACCGTACACTTTTACCACTAACACCAGCTAGAAGCCTAGAATGTTTTAGGGTTGGTTTGCAACTGCTTTTAAAAAAGCACTTCTCAGCTTTTGGCTTTAAAAAAGCACTTATTTTCCCAAACACTACAACTTTTATTTTTCTCGGCTTCCGCGTCAAAAGTGCTTTTACTTTTTCTATTACACAAAAAGCACTTATTTTACCAAACACTACCCACTTTTACTTTTCAAAATCACTTTTTTCTCAAATACTATCAACTTTTATTTAATCACTTCTCCTCATTTCATTTAAAAAAGCACTTTTTTAAAAGCAGAAGCTGTTGCAAACAGACCCTTAGTTGGACGGTAATCTATCTTAGATCAAACCAGACAGATCGATCAGATTTGGAACGTCTCATATTAAACTTTACACTTCTTTATTTACCTTATTTGGAAAATAAATCTACACACAACAATGTTAAACAGTGCCAAACAGTGCTAAATAGTGTCAAACAGTGTACTCTACAGTAAAGTCAAATTTATTCCCTTAAAAACTGTGAAGTCAAAGAGTAAGAATCTTTGTGAACCGGAGGGAGTATATTTTTTAAAAAATAGACTCCTGTAAGGAATAAATTGTATTTATATTTTGATGATGCTAGACTATTTAGGCTTTTAGAACAGAACCCCTTTAGAAAATTGTATTAGAAATTTCCATGTGTAAGCATTAGAATAATCGACTGGATAGAAGACCTTCAGGCCCTCTGTTGGACTTCTACTGGACAGAAGTGCTTGAGGCTCTCTAATATTGCCCCTCTATGTGAAGCAACAGATGGCCTCACACTTAGAGAATTTCGCTGTTGCCTAAGCCGGTTAAACTAACGGGATATACCCTAACGGCTAGGAGCCTCTAAACGGGAAAGCTACAGTACACGCATTAAATGCCCATTTAATGTGCTTCACACGTTGAGATATTTAAAGTTGATGATTGACCAAGGATCCAAAAAGAATATCTTTATGCGCCCAAAAATGACAAGTCGTCTGCTTTTGGAACCAACCGGTCAAATCTACAGTACGAGCATTTGATGAAGCTGTCTTCTTCCTCCAACGGGAAGACAACCCTAATATATATATATGATACTACATGAAGAACTATCCGGACAACTTTTGCTCTCTCTACGAACATTCAAAAAGCTTTCTTAAGATCTCACCCTCATCATCCTCAACAAGAAAAGCTTTTTTCCACTCCATATCTAACCAAGAGCAAAGTTCCTCCAGTTCTCCAACACTTCAAACACCTCAACTACATATCTTTTGTGACGAAGCAAGTTGGAGAAAATTCTGTTCTAAACAATCTTCTTCTAAAGAAGGGCGTCTCAAAGTAACTGAAGTAATGAAGTTGGGATACTTCAAGGAAACTCAGTGAAAAGGGACCAGTCATCAGGAAGAAAGGAAGGGCATCCCGGGTGACAACTAGACTTGAAGAAGACGTGGAGAGCTTCTTAAGTGCTAGGACTAAGGCTGTGTAATTGTGTTTTTACAAGTTTAGTGGAACGGTGGACTAGAGAAACGAGTTGTTCCTTGAACCACTATAAAAATCCTCTGTGTCACTTACTTACTGCACTTTTAATTCTTGCATTTATCTTTAAACTGCTTAACTCCAAAAGACCTGATCTTTGTGTTCAGCAGAACAAGTCTTAAGAGTTAACGGAAGGTCTATTGCCTTTGCACCTCTGTGAGGCTGACCGGACAGATTCCCTACCAAAAGACCATCCGCTGCCAGTCTGTTCTTCAACAGAACAGGCTATTCTGTTAACCTTGGTACTTAGCTTGTATAACCGGGACCAACAACTCTGCATATATTTCGGGATGTCTTTCATGCAATTAGTAATTTAAATCACAACAAAAAATACTCACGTTATTTCTTTGGTGCATACATTGTTCATAAATCATAAGATGTAGGCCAGAAGAACATCTAATGTTTTCCGACAATGAAATCATTAAAATATATAAAATAAAGAAGAAAATGATACCGGATACTAGTAAATACATGCACTTTTTACAATTTTTATCATTTATTCATTCTATTTGAGGCAAAAGCATCCGGACCACTATGAGAAAGGTATCAGAGCATCTTCAATGCTAAAATGTTAACGGTGCATACGTGGCATGAGAAATAACCAATTAAAAAACAATAAATACAATATCTCTCTCCTTTTTTCCACGGTCTTATGTGTTTATGGTAAGTTTTTGTC